GAGGACCCCGCGCTGGAAGGCAAGGCCCCGCCGCCGGCTGCCCGCGGAGAACGCCTGACTGACGCCTCCGGCGCGGCGCGGCCGCCGCCAGGGGGAGCCGCGACCGCCCGGGAAAATGCCCTCCCAGACTCCCACTCGGCACCGAGCCTACTCCCTTCCCGAAACGCAGGGGCAGGAACACGGCGCCCACGGACGGCGCACGGACCGAGAACGTTGCCGGCCGCGCGCGCGCGGGCACGACCCGTCCTCCGCAGCGCGCACTCGGCGGCGACAGGTGCGCGCGCACCTGCCCGGCGGCTCCGTGCTCGCGGCCCGAGGGTGCGCGCCGAGTGCGTAACGAGCCACCTCTTGTGTCGCCGGGGGCCCTGGGATAACTCGTGTGCACAGGGTAGAGCTCGGCAAAGGATTTCCCGTCTAGATCGGACCCTCCAGGTCTTAGTGAGCCGAATAGGCTCTGTTTAGAAGGGTGAGGCTTTGGGGTGTGAACTTGGGGGTTTTCGGTGGTGGTTTTGTTTGGGGAAGGGGTGCTGTGGAGTCGCAGAGTTTAAAGGACCGGGAGAGGACCATTCTGGGCACTGGTGTTTGACTTTGGTCAAGTTACCTACCTTCTTACAGCAGCAGCTGGTTAATGCAGTAAATGGGATTAATACGAGAATAAAGTGAAAGAGTCTACCAAGTCAACAAAACATAAATTTGGATCTTACTGCTCCCTCCCTTGGATGATGACTTTTTCCATCCTGGAGCCTCCTCCTTGCCAATCTCAAAGGGCCACAAGTGGCCCGGTTCCAAAACGTAAATGGGAAAGTTATTGTAACTGAAACCCCAAACTGTCTGAATTCGAACACTTTAGGACTACCCAATTTTTTTCATGGCACTTAGAAGGCTCAGTGGCAAAATAAATTCAATATGCTATGTCATGTGTACCTTAACCAAACATCTTGTAGGTCCCATTTGTTTTTCCTCTTACTCTATCAGAAAAAAAAAAAAAAAAAAAAAAGGCAATTTTGTGATCAATAAACAAATCCCCTGACCTGTTTCAAAAAAAAAAGTCAATTATCCTTATGTGCAGCACAGAGGGCTACAGAGATAGGGCTACAGATACAGATATAAGGGCTGGCGAGTTAGGTTACTTGGGTAGAGCGTGATGTTGATAACACCAAGGTCAAGGGCTTGGATCCATTACTGGCTTATTCACCAAATAAACAAAACAGATATAGACGTATGTTGTTGATTTCCTATCTATAGCCATTTTGGACCTGTGAATTCGTTAAATTTTTTCTGCTCCACAAATGTTCTTACTCCTGTGAGTGAGAACTGAACTCAGCCCAAACACACACGCCGTAAAGGACTAGCAATCCTCCACACTCTGTACTCTGTTCATACATTTATCAGAGCACACAGTATTACTTGACTTCCCTTATTCATTTGCCTGCCTCCTACAAAACTAAAGGTCTGTAGACTTGTGTGGTCATATCCTAGTGTCTAGCACATTGTTTGGTACATAATAGGTTACTAGTAAATATTGAATTAATAAATGGACGGAGGCTTCTAGTAAAAGTTGAAATAATAAATGGATGGGTGAGTTTAAGGAAGCCGAGTTTCCATGATAGAAGAGTCAACTATAGTCCCCTCAAATGATAATTTATTTCATACATAAATAATGACCAGTTTCTCTTTTTGGATAAATTATGCTTTTGAGGTTAATGAGTCTTAAACTCAAACTAATGAGTGAGATATGTCATTAGTAATGTGTTGCTTATAACAGTTAAAGAACTGAAATTTAGAGATCTTTTTTGTTTTTATGTTAATACTCTTATAATTACCCCACTAATGTTGGTTCAGTGGAGGATGTCAAAATACAGATCTGTCTGATCACAGATTTTATATATATATATATATATATACACACACACACACACACACACACACACACACATACACGTATGTTTGTGTCTGCGTGTATGTGTGTGAGTGTGTGTGCATATATATATGTTTTATATATATGCATATATATACATATATGCATATATATATGTGTGTGCATATATATATGTTTTAAAAGGAATCGGCTCCCATAATTAGGAAGGCTGGCAAGTACAAAATCTGCCAAACCAATGTCCCAGTTCAAGTCCTAAGGCCAGCACACTGCTGTAGAACCAGGGAGACCTGATTATCTAGTTTGAAGGCCATCAGGCAGGAAGAGCTGATCTTCATTTCCAAAGCCGCCTGGAAGGAATATTCTCTCTTACCCAGGGGAGGTCTCTCTTTTGTTCTATTCAGGCCACCAACTGATTGGATGAATCCCAATAACATTATGGAGGACAGTCTTCTTTATTCGGCCTACCAATTAACACGTTAATCTCATCCAAAAACACACTCACAGAAACATCTAGTATCCAAATACCTGGGCACCGATGGCACAGTCAAGTTGACACGTAAAACTTACCATCACAGATTTTTTTTTTTTTCCAGAACTGAGTTTTTTGTGTTTTTGTTTCTGGTTTTGTTTTGTTTTGTTTGGCAACTGGCTTGTATGGGGACAGAACTGAGTTGAGCTGTGACTCAACATTGCATCTCCTAGCACGAATTATACCTCTGTTTGATGACTGTTCGAAAGTGCTCCAAGAAATATCAGGGATCTGTTGGTATTGGGAGATGAAGAGCTGATCTCTATCTGGTTTGTTACTGGTGCAGCACAAGGATGAGGTGTTGGATTTCCAACGCGAAGAAGCAGCAAGCCCAATTCAATCAGAACTTTAAAGAATATCCAACAAATAACCTTTGTCAAACCAAAAAAAGAGGAGGAGAACAAAGTAAGGCACATGACAGAACTGGATTTGCTGGTTTGTTTGCTCTTTCAACACAAACTTGTAAATACAGAAACAAAGATTAGTCATGCTTGCTTTTTTCAACCAACACATTAAAGAAAGAACATGGCTTAATTTCAAATCAGATTAAATCGAATGTGCTGTATATGGAAAACATATGACCTTTCGTCTTCCTCCCAACCTGGAGCTCTCTTCCTCTTTCCTCCTCTCCTTGCCCCCACCTTGTCTGGCTAACTCTTACTCTTTCTTGTTAAAACCCCAGGTTAGAAGTTACTTCTGTTGGGCTGGCCCGTGGCTCACTTGGGAGAGTGCGGTGCTGATAACACCAAGGCCGTGGGTTCGGTTACTTAAAAAAAAAAAAAAAAAAAAAAAAAAAAAAAAAA